AGGGTGTGCTTCAGCTACTGATGCGTCTGCATTCCTTGATGGGCATGGGAAACCACCATTACTCCCACTCCACCCCTGGGCACCCATTAATGGTGCCTCTACTGTCCCTGCTGGGTGTGACAACTATCATTATGCCTCACCCCTACCCCAGTCTCCAATTCCTCCTCCCCCCTGCATCTACATAGGATCCAAGCTGAATTCCAAGCAGGGAAATTAACAGAGATTTATTGTAAAACACACTGCTGTATGTGCACAAACCAAGCATTATTAATACAAGTATACAAATGCCCATGAAGGCAGGATTGGCGCTGAGTGCAAGCAATTGCCAGGTGCATATATAGTAGTTTGCACTCTCTCAAGCTGGAACTAGAGGCAGTCCATACCACTGTTCCCAGGATATGTAAAGCATTTATATTGTTGGTATGATCAGAAAACCTGGAAGTTAGCAAAGGAGAGAGTATTGGTTATGGAGCGGAGTGGAGGCCTTGAGATACAGGTTTCAGCTTATACCTTGCTGCGATGCACAAAATTAAAGGGAAGATATTTTCCTTTTTTTTTTACCATGGACAGAAAGTTTATATACTGTTTCTCTGCTTTACAGGCCCTTCTGCACAAGTACATATCACGCACCGTTGCAGAAGGTTATTGACTGTCAGTGCCAGGCTACTGAATCAGAAAGCAGAAGGAGGAAGACAAGGGACAGACTGCTGATGGAGCTGCATAAGGACTTTGGTGGAAGGTGTCACTGCCTTTTCTTGCTTCAGAGGGGGAAATGCTGGAGCAGGAGTGGCAATTCCAGACTGCAGCTGAGAGGATGCTGAAGAAAAGAGCTCATGATGACCTAGTACATTGCCCATGACCATGCCATGTAAGAGCAAGACACCCAGCAGCAGTGTGAGGAGAGTCAGAAGCAAATGGTCATGTTTCTGAGCATTATGGCCAGCAGGTGACAGAACAACCTGGCCCCTGTACTAGCCCAGGTTCAGCACCAGCCTCATCCTACAACCACACACTCTCCTCCATGATCCCACAAGCTGCAGCTAGTGACCCCAGGATAGGGGGTCTGCCAGTTCCATGGTCAGGTTTACCTTCATCACCCCACCCCCATGTAACAATGGTGGAGTGATGACCACGTGCACTCTCCATATATGTGACATGGCACAGTGCCACTTGGGTGCATGTCACTTGGCTTAAAGCAGAAGGACTGCTAGTGTGATTTATTTTGAATAAAATCTTTCTTTGTTGAATCCTTTGTTTCTGTGAGTGCTTTGGCCGCACTAGAGGGGGAGGGGAACTTAACAACACAGTTTTATTCCAACATCACCATCACAATTAATGCACTTTAAGAGAAATCTTTCCTATGTGGGAACACTGATACAGACCAGCTACCTCTGCTGCTCCTACCCAGCCAGGGGAACTAGGAGCTGGATGGGGGGAAAGGATTGGGCCCCTGGAGCTGCCTCTGCCACCGTAAACCCGGCATGGGGACTAGGAGAGCTGGTTGAGAAAAAGCCATGGATCCATTGTTCAAGATTTGGATTTCCAACAGAATGCAGACAATCAACACGTGCAGAAGTGAGGTGCTGCAGTAAGCTGCCAGGTGAACACTACTTCAACCCATATGGCTAGGAGGGACAAAAAATGGTTTCCTGAAATACATCATGGACGTTTGGAAGGAACGGCTTGGAATAGTGCAGTGCTAAGAACTAAGGGTTATGCCCCCAGAAGGCAAACTCCTTTGCTTGAGTCAGTACTGCAACCATGTGCACACAGTAACTTGAGGATGACTGAGGTGGCCTTTGCCATGTGGCCTCAACCTAGGCTAACACAAGTGTAGTACTTCAAGTATTCTAACTGGAACTAACAATGCAGTGAAGACAAGCCCAGAGCAAGGGAGAATGAAAAGAAATGATACTAGCAAAGCAGTGACGCAAGCTTACTCTTAAGATTAGAAGCTCTGAGATGTCGGTATATCACTGGCTATGACATTATGTAGCTGGAAATGCTTCCTGGGCCAAGAAGAATGTTGTTTTCTGCAAATGCTTTCATTGGTTATGTGCATTGCTTACACTTATCTGCTCTTAATAATATGATACTTTGCTATTCCAAAACTTCTTTGTGTGTTGATTAAGGAAGGAAGCAGAAGAAGAATTTTTTTCAGCTGTAGCTTCAGTTTGCCAAGAAGTCCTAAGCAGTTTGCTCTCCTCTGCAGCCAGAATTAATCGTAAAATGTCCTATAATGATAAATCCCCAGAATACAATTAGTGCAAGTTTCATTATTTTGCAAATTGCATCCCAGTAGCTCTTTGTGTCACCCTCACCCCTCGCTATCTGTGCATGCTTTTCTAATATTTTGTCATATCATGAGTTAGAGTTTTCTGCCCCTTGGCTGCCAGACTAAATGGTCTACCTTGTAAATCGATAGATAAGGTGGGTGAGGTGATGTCTTTTATTGGACTAAGTTCTGTTGGTGAGAGAGACAAGCTTTCGACCCACATTGAGCTCTCTACAGTTTGAAAGCTTGTCTCTCTCACCAACAGAAGGTCAAATAAAAGAGATCACCTCACCACCTTGTCTCGCTAATATCCTGGGACCAACACGGCTACAATTACACTCCCTTCAAAATAGGGTTTCACTGAACCACCAAATAGTGTTATAGCTTTCAGGTAGGTTAGCTATAGCATTCTATGCCCAAATGCAAAACTGTTGAGAAAATATAAAGGTAAATTTTTAAAGCTTTGCATGAGATTTATAGCTGGTGAACTATTAAATCCAGAAGTTAAAACTCTCTTCAGTACTTGGAAATTTTATCTTTAAAAGTCAGGGAATTAATTCCTGCCCTTTGTCTGATCCCCTGCATCAAAAATAAAGGAAATGGTGCTCTCATTCACAGGTGAGTCACTATCTTCGTATAGTTGGACATCAGAAAATTTAATTTAAGTATGTTGGGCCTGATTCTCCATTGCCCCGAATCTTGTATAGTCATTTACACAAGTTCAAAGTGAGAGTCCCACTAGTGTTAACTTTAATCAGCTACATCGGGGGTTCTCAAACTGGGGGTCGTGACCTCTCAGGGGGTTGTGAGGTTATTACGTGTGGGTCGTGAGCTGTCAGCCTCCACCCCCAAACCCTGTTTCGCCTGCAGCATTTATTACAGAGTTAAATATAAAAAATGTGTTTTTAATATATAACGTGGGGGGGAGGGTCGCACTCAGAGGCTTGCTGTATGAAAAGTTTGAGAACTACTGAGCTACATTGAGGCAAAAGGCATTAACTTGCATCTACACTAGGGAAAAGGTTTTGGTTAGGTCTGGATTAGCTAACTTGTTGGGTAACTCTGACCTACCCTCGTCCTCTTTTCCTAATATAGACAAATTGCAAGTCAGGGTTCAGGTGCATTAGTGGGCTGGCATAGAGACACTTTTATTGTTCCATTTATGCTGCACCTGTTCAATGTACCAGAAGAGGACTTTGGTTTCCAGTGCTGTCAATGTAGGATGTTTCATGTTTCACTGTAATAACTTTGGGCTAAATTCAGCCTTCAGATATTCACAGGCAAATCCTACTGAAGTCAATGGGAATTTGGCCCTTTGTTATTCACAGAAGTAAAATAGTTTCACCAGCGTGAAAGTAAAGAAATTAGTCAAATGTAAAATTAAACATGTGTATTATGACATAGGGGTAATAGACATTAAGATTATTTGTGGAAAAACCGAAAGCCGTCACAGGAGAGGTCACAGCCAAATTGATAAAGAATCACAGTGCCTCTTTCAGAAATATATGTTATTGCCATTTTTTGCAATTTCATAATGTTTCATCCTCAAATGTGCGCACACACAAAAAATCTCATTTTAGTAAGTCAGCTAGTTCTCTAAATATATAGTGCTAAAAACAAAGAAACTTCTTCACTCCCCCCCTTCTATCCCTGCCCTCCCCCCCTTTTTTTAACAAGGCATAAACCACAGTAAGTTAACTCTGATTTTAAAGAACTGTTGGTGCTTGTGGGGCCAAATACTGGAACTAAGAAGCAGCCCAAATGGCTGGACTGTGCACTTTACAGGAGCTTGGGAAGAATCCTGTCCCCCTGAGGACATGTCACAGCTGCCTCTAAAATATAAGGGCTGTGTTAGTCCTGACCACTGGTGCACACGTTCACTGTTCTATAGGGAAGAGTGGCTGGTGGATATGCGTAGTCACAGGTCCACTAGAATGGGACCTGTCTCTGAACCCTGAATACTAGGCAGAGTCACAGGAAGTCCTGGCAAGGCAGAGTCTGACTGTCGACATGGCTGCATGTCCCCTAAATAGGGTCCCTAATTCCTGGGCCACTGCAGAATTGCACTGGTTCTGCTGGGTCATCTTCCTTTACAGTCACTGAGGATTTGACCCATTGAGCTTATTTGAATTTAATAGCTCTTACATAAAAATGAATTGATTTTTCTCTTCTATTTCCAAATTGGTGGTGTTATAAGCAAAGGAATGTATGGGTTCCCTCTGGTGGTGATGTAAAATTCAATTATTGTAACAGTCTCTATCAGTTTGAGTAAAGTGTTGGACATTAATACTGAAGAAAGTCAGGTACTCTAGTCCTGGTGGGGTATCTTTTTGTCAATAATTTATAGTTGGTACACTTTCTGTTTTTCCCCCCTTGATATGCCTAAATACATTCACTTTACCAAATATTTTTTCTAAAAAAGAAATAGTGTGTAAACAGAGCCAAGTTAGAAAGAGACTCAGCCATATAAATGTGTAATGTCTAGATAGGAAACTAGATAGAAAAGATACAATTATTTATTTGACTGCATTAAACAGGAATCAGTGTGGCTGACTTGAGCATTAGAGAATTGAAGTGTCTGTTTATGATTAGTAAATGGTCTAAAATGAGTTGTGTGGGTGGATAGATAGATGGATGGATAGATAGAGAAAATGAAAGTAACAAAGAAATATCAATTTGTTTGTAAATGATTAAAGATGATATCCTTCTCCTTTCTTTTCCTTAGAATTTCACCAGCCAAGACATTGACAGTGGTGTTGACAATAAATCTCTGTCTGCAGTATTAGACAATTTGGCAAAATGCAGCTACTATACTGTGTGGTTAACTGCAGACACTGCCTTTGGAAATGGAAACAAGACCAGTGAGATAATACACGTATATACAGATCAAGATAGTATGTAAACATCTCTATTTTAAATTTTCAAATGTACATCCAAGCTTTTCATTATGAAATAGTTCTAGAACTTTTAAAAAGTATTGCATTCTTTGGTATGAAAAGGTTAAAAAGAAGTACTACAGTGAATGCCATTTTAAAAAACTGTTTACCATACTGTAGCATTTATCTTTGCATGGGTTTGATGGTATTTCCTATGCCTAGAATGGGGATAGATCATTCTCAGGAACCTTAGCATTAGTATCTGAAGGAGACCTCTTTGTGTCAATAGATTGAGCAGACTCTTAACTCCAAGTTCCAGTTTGAACCTATCACCATTATTTTCTCCACCTTAACTATCAGGATAACCATTATCAAGACAAAACCCTACAGTTCAGCCTCTCTTTGGCCAATCTAGTTTTCATGACAGTTTGAGAGTAAGCTTAATTATCAAGCAACTAATCTTTAACCCTTCCTAAAGGACATTTTGATCCGTTGAGTCTCTTCTCTTTGTAGTGTAGCATCAAAAGCAATTTTTCTTCTCTGGGCACAAAGAGTGAGAAAATCTGTCTTAAACTATCACAAAGATTTTCTCCCCTTAATAATTAACATTAACTACAAATAGTTACGTATATATACATTCAAGATGCTTTGTTTTTGATATCAAAACATAGATGATCAAAGAAAAGCTTGTTTTATTTATAGACACGAAAATAATGTAATAAAACATTGAATACATAATGTTAAAGATTAAGTTGATCTAATAGCAACACTTTGAGTGTTTATTTTTGTTATTAGTTATGAAATATTATGTTATTATTTAGTTATGAAACTAACAGATATATTTATTTTTGCTTATTAATCCATAGTTCCAGATGGCCCTGTTGAAAGTCTGACATATCAAAATGTTTCTTCAACTGCTATAAATGTAAGCTGGCTTCCACCATCCCAGCCAAATGGTATAGTCTTCTTCCTCGTTTCACTAAGTTTATGGGATACACAAACAGACAGTGAGATATTGTCTCTCATTACTTACAATACAAGCATGTTTTTGGATAAGCTGGAGAAGTACACCGATTATATTCTGAAAATAATTCCAGCAACAGTGAAGGGATCTTCTAAAATGCACACTGTGAAACTACACATCAAAACCGAAGAAGATGGTAGGTTTAGGACTTTTTGTAATTCCTAAAGAATTTTATTAACAGCAAATAGCCTTCTAAAAATTCTTGATCATTAGGATGTTTTCTTATGAAATAATGTTACTGATATACTTGTTAATTCTTTTTTGTCAAATTAACTAATAAAGCAACCCACAATAACTGTTGTCATGCAGATTTATTGTAGTGCTTCATTGAGACCATGAAGTAGAAGTTAGCATTGATAAGAGAACAAAGTTAATTGATATTTAAAGATATTTTCCACCATAATTCACCTTTTTGTGGGATAACTTTTTTCTGTTTGTTTTCTCATTTCTTGTTATAGTCCCTGAATCTTCACCTGTAATCAGAACGTATAAGAATCTTTCATCTACCTCAGTTATGTTGTCCTGGGAGCCTCCTCTCCAACCAAATGGTATCATAATGAGTTATGATTTAAAGTTATATGGACCAGACAGGAATGATTCTTGGTCTACCTCCAATAATTCTATCGTCCTAGAAGATCTTTTACCATTTACACTGTATAGTATTTTTGCTGCTGCAAGAACTATCAGAGGACTTGGTCCCTATGCTACGCTTAACTTTTACACGGATGAGTCAGGTGAGTGATAAATAAAATCATATCATGCTGTTTGGAAATAAATGTATGAAATAGAGGACCCCAGAGCTGGTGCAGAGATGTAGGGCTTCCACATGGCTGATCCTATCTTGGTTGATCCCCTAAAATCCTTGGGGCATGGGGCCAGACACACCACTGCTTCTGTAGAAGGCAGGGAGACAAACCTGCAACATCTGGCAGATGAGTTTAGAGGGAATTCTGGGATTTCGTCCTCTGTCCACACTCTGCCTGTAGGTTTTACTGTAGGGGAGGACACACTCTGACCAAAGGCTATTTAACTCTCACTACTATGGGCCCATATTAGTTCATTTCTCAAATTACACAAGAAAATAAATTTGAGGTGCCCAAGAATGGTGGCATTCAATGGCTCACAGGAGCCCCTTTTAAAAATTCTGCCACCAAATTGAAAGGAAGCATGTGAGATTTCCCTGCCTTTGGCAGAATTCACCCATTATAGTGCTAAATTATCTTTCCTAGAGATTACTTTTAGCCTTGGGCTCATAAGAATACTAGAAGATCAATTTCTTTTTGCCTTTGGAATGCATCATAATTTGTCAAATGTCAATTATTTTGGGGGAAAAACAAACAACCCACCCCACCCTCACCTCCAAAAGGAAAATATTCCTTAAAAATACTTACAGACCCTTACAGGGTTTTTTTTCCACTCCTTGTTCTATTTCAGATTACATTGCACACTGCCATCCTACTCGATATATATAAAAAATGCACAAAGTAGAGAGGGGAAAAATGTGTGTATATATATGAAAGCTCTAATTTTAATTCTAGATGCTACTAGTAACAATAGTAGGTACAATATTTTAGGATACATGTGTAATATTTTGATTGTTTACCTTTCAAACTAGACTGATTGAAGTGCTAGATAAGACTATAGTAAATAGTCTAGAGGCCCTTTGGGATGGAGTATGTGATCTAATAAGTCTCTTTCATACTCTCTAGAGCACTGGAGCAAATTGCCTAGGGAGGTTGTGGAATCTCTATCATGGGATGTTTTTAAGAACAGGTTAGAGAAACACTTGTCAGGAATGGTCTAGTTATACTTAGTCTGCCTCAGTGCAGGGGACTGGACTAGTTGACCTACTGAGGTCCCTTCCAGTCCTACATTTCTATGATTCTATAAGTGCATCTACTCCAGTGGTTCTCAAACTTTTGTACTGGTGACCTTTTCACATAGCAAGCCTCTGAGTGCGACCCCCCCCCTTATAAATTAAAAACACTTTTAAATATATTTAACACCATTATAAATGCTAGAGGCAAAGCGGGGTTTGGAGTGGAGGCTGACGGCTCGCGACCCCCATGTAATAATCTTGCGACCCCCTGAGGGGTCCCAACCACCAGTTTGAGAACCTCTGATCTACTCTGTTTTTTGCCAAATATTTTCATACTTCCTTGGTTATGAAAATATGCGTTTGTTTAAATGACAGACAACATGAATAGATTATCCTGTTCCTCACCCTTACTTTCTCCAACAACATGCACCTTTGGTAAATAGAGTTTATAACAGGCAAATGGGGCAAGACTCAGGAGTTGTTGGGAGCTCTTTGTTAAAAGTGTAGCAGTACTAGATTGGTTCGGTTAAGCTCAGACACGAATGCGTAATGAATCTTTATGATCTTTTGCTCCTACAAAGTATTCATATTTGCCTAAAATTAACATCATACATTTGAACTAATGAACATTTTCTCCCACAGTGCCATTAGCACCTCCTCAGGATTTGGCTATTTTCAACTATACTGCCTACTCTGTGTGGCTAAAATGGAGGCCAAGTCCTCAGCCAAATGGTGCTATTAAGAACTATAGTTTTAAGATTCATGAAAACAAAAGTCATACCATAGTTTATCAGGTATGTTTATAATATTTAGTGGTGTTTTACGTATTTGAAAAAATATATTTTATTTTTCTGGCTATCTGACTCATGTCTCAAAACCAAAAATATGTAAGGCATTTTATATGCCTAGGTATGTCCTGCATTAATCAAAATTATATGAACTCATAACTTAGATGAGGTGATTTTCTTTCCCCCCCTAATGTTTCTTCATAAAAGACACTGATTAAAGATGTTATGGAAATGCATGTATATTGTGGACTAAATCATATTCTTAGATACAGTCCACAGTGAGGGATTGTGTGGAGGTTCACACTCCTTCTCCATATAATGTCTGTTGTGGGGCCACTCACCACGCAAGGGAAATGCATCTGTTATTTCTTTGTATTGCAGTAATCAGTCCCAAACAGGGATCCAGGCTCCATTGTTCTAGACCCTGCACGTATGTGTAATTGAAAAGACATTTCCTGCCCCAAGGCATTTACAGTCTGCTACTACAACCCATGAAGGAGTGTCCAGGATCCTGTGGAGTTGCGGGGGACATTATGTGGTCCTGATAGAATAGGGACAGAGCAGTTTCTACATCTGTGCACAGGGAATTCCATTTTGCTTGCCATTATGCAGGACCTGTGAAAGCTCCTCCATTACACATCTGAGGACAGGCCAGATGGAATCCAACAGTAGGCAGAATCTGCATGACAGTTAAATGTGATAGAGACCAGCAGTGGCAATCTGCTGAGATGTTTCTGCCACACACAAAGCTTCCTTCACGTTGTCAGAAGAAGAGTAGTATATGCAAGAGACCAGACTGTGTGGAGTGCAGCAGTGGGACAGGCAGACCAATTCATGCAGAGGGAGACTGCAGCTTGTAGTGGGTTAGCAGTGGTCCCTCCCTCTCTGGGTCAATGGGAGGCTACTCCGCCTCACTAGGTCACTGGGAGTCATCCACAATTAGGAAATTAGCAACAGCCAGCCTGTGGCTGTGGCCAACTGTCCGGGTAGAGCGGTAGTCAGTTGGGGTCTCTACCCTGCAATCAGGGACAAGGAGCAAACAGTTATGGGTCCCAGCCCGCAGTCAGGGTGGGAGTAGCAAGGAGTCTGTAGTTCGCACCTGTACTCAGGGCCAAGCCCGTAGTCAGGACAGGGCCGTAAGGAGTCTATGGCTCGGGTCCGTATTCAGGGCCGAGCAGCAAGAGTAGGGTTACCATACGTCCTCTTTTTCCCGGACATGTCCGGCTTTTCGGCAGTCAAACCCCCGTCCGGGGGGAATTGCCAAAAAGCCGAACATGTCCGGGAAAATGGCGGCTCTGTTTAAGAGCCGGGCTGCCTGAGCGCTACCGGCTTCGGGCAGCCCCCGTGCCTCCAGACCCTGCGCCGCCGGAGCCCGGGAGGGGAAGTGCCCGGCTGGCGGCTGGGGGCCGGAGGCGAGGGGGCTGGCTGGAGCCCATAGAGCGC